TTTTTTTTTTCTATTTTTTTCTTTCTCTCATTCTTAGTCCATAAAAATATTACATGCTGATTGATAGAAAATCTATATTAATCAGAACACATGAATCTTTATATAACTGTGTAATATTTCTACTTATGTTATACCCAAAGAACTTCTCTTTTTAACGGATCCAGTACCAGTGTCAGTAAAAAAGTAACCAAAGAGAGGCAAATTATAGTTCTAAAATTTTTTCAGTAAGAACGGTAAAGAGATTTTTTTTTTTGCTAAATTTTTTTATGACACGGACTTATTGAAAACTCAAATGAATTTATGCTTATCCAGCCATCTTCGCCTATATTTTAACGATAGTTCATGTGCAAAATTTGAAAACACTTTTGTTCGATGTTGCTTTACAGTAATGATATAAACGATGCAGTTCTCTTCTTCTTCCCTAAATCTTTCCATGCAAGTGACAAATGCGACAAAATTTATTGCAACAGTTGACCATAGAATAACATCTCCAGAAAAAGCACCATTGAAAAATAAAAATAAGAATATCATGTTTTCTAATTTTTCAATCAAAATTTCTACTCCATGAGTATAAAACTTTAAAAATTAGAAAAATTAACAAAGTTCCGACCTCTTGTAAGTATAATTACACCTGCAAAAAACTCAATCCATGGTCAGCAGCTGCACCGTTACTGGGAAGTAACAACCTTTAACGGAACCAGATGCACACAAAAACTCCAAAATAACCTAAGATATACAAAAATACTACAAATATAAAAAATAAAATCCTTTCGCATATGAACCTTTAGCCTTTCACAAAACCAACGCCTACGTTCCAAATAACAAGTGAAAACATCCGAAATGTATCTGAGAAAGCAATGCAAGCCGCACGAAAAAACTTCTTTGCCTAAACTTAGTTCCCGGCCTTTCGCAAAGTCCCTCTCTATGCTTATGAAGCCGATGATACACAGCTTTTACTGAAGCATCACTTATACTTTTAGTTTAGTGAATGCAGTTTCTACATTCTTTTCTGTCGTACGAAAGTCTTGCTGGCGATGTAAGACTTAAAAGCGGGGAGAAAACGGTTTAAAACTGATGCAAAAA